TCTTTCGCTTTCTTCCCTTCTCTCTTTTCTCTCTCTCTCCTTTTCTCTCTCTCTTTCATTCTCTCTTCTCTGTCTCCGCTTCTCTCTTCTCTCTCCTCTCCTTCTCTCTTCTTTCTCACTCTTCTTAAATCTTTTCTATCTCCTCCTTCTCTCTTCCCCCCCTCTTTTCTCTCTCTCTCTCTTTTCTCTTTTCTCTCTTTCCCTCCTTTCTTTTCTCTCTCTCTTCTTGTCTCTTTTTCTCTCTGTCTCCTTTTCTCTGTCTCTCACCTCTCTTTTCTCTCTCTTCCTGCTATATTTTCTCATTTTTCCTTTTCTCTCTCTCTCTCTCTCTCTCTCTCCTCTATTTTCTCCTCTCACCTTCTCTCTTTTGCTTTCTCCACTTCTCTCTTTTCTCTCTCTTCTTTTCTCTTCTCTTTCTCTCACCTTCTATCTTTTCTCTCTCTTTCATTCTCTCTTCTCCATCTCCGCTTCTCTCTTCTCTCTCTCTCCTTATGTCTTTTCTCTCTCCTCCTTCTCTCTTCTCCCCCCTTCTCTCTTTCTCTCTCCTCTTTTTCCTCCTTCTCTCTCTCTGCCTCACTCTCCTTCCCTCTTTTTATCTTCCTCCTTCACTCTTTTCTCTCTCTCCTTCTCTCTGCCTCCCTCTCCAGCTCCAGCTCTTTCTCTCTTTTTTCTTTTATCTCCCTACTTCTCTCTTTTCTCTCTCCCTCTCCTCTCTTTTTTCTCTCTGTCTCCGTCTGTCTCTTCTCTCTCTATCTCGCTTCTTTCTTCTCTCGTTTCTCTCTCCTCTCTCACTTTTTCTTTTCTCTTTCTCTCTCTCCTCTCCTTCTCTCCCCTTTCTCTTTTCTCTCTTTCCCTCCTTTCTTTTCTCCCTCTCTTCTTGTCTCCTTTTTCTCTGTCTCCTTTTCTCTCTCTCCTCTCTCTCTTCTTCCTTTATTTTCTCTTTTTTCCTTCTCTCTCTTTTTTCTCTCTCCCTCTCCTTCTCTCTCTTTCCCATTCTCTCTTCTCTCTATCTCCCCTTCTCTCTTTTTTCTCTCTTTTCTCCTTCTCTTACCTTCTCGCTTTTCTCTCTCTCCTTCTCGCTCTCATTCTCTCTTCTCTCTCTCTCCCCTTCTCTCTATCTGTCCTTCTCCCTCCCCTTCTCTCTTCTCTCTATCTCTCCTTCTCTCTTTACTCTTTCCGCTCTTTCCTCCTTCTCTCTCCCTCTCTCTCCTTCTCTCTCTCATTCTCTATTTTCTCTCTCTCTCCCCTTCTCTCTTCTCTCTATTCTCTCTCCTTTTCTCTTTTTTCTCTCTTTTCTCCTTCTCTCTCCCTCTCTATCTCTCCTTTTCTCTTTTTTCTCTCTTTTCTCCTTCTCTTACCTTCTCCCTTTTCTTTTTCTCCTTCTCTTTCTCATTCTCTCCTCTCTCTCTGTCCCCTTCTCTCTATCTCTCCTTCTCCCTCCCCTTCTCTCTTCTCTCTATCTCTCCTTTCTCTCTTTACTCTTTCCGCTCTTTCCTCCTTCTCTCTCCCTCTCTCTTTCTCTCTCTCTCTCTCTCTCTTTTCTCTCTTCTCTCCTTCTCTCTTCTCTCTATCTCTCCTTTTCTCTTACCTTCTCCCTTTTCTTTTTCTCCTTCTCTTTCTCATTCTCTCTTCTCTCTCTGTCCCCTTCTCTCTATCTCTCCTTCTCTCTTTACTCTTTCCTCTCTTTTCTCCTTCTCTCTCTCTCCCTCTCTCTTTTCTCTCTCTCATTCTCTCTTTACTCTCTCTCTCCTTATCTTGTTTCCCTCTTTTCTCTCTCCTTTCTTTCCTCCTTCTCTCTCCTTCTCTCTCAGTCTTTCACTCATCTTTTCTTTAGACCCTGACAGTGACACAGTCCAATGTAGTTTTAAAGTGATTTTAAACTTTTAAATCATTTATCACCTTTAATTTAAATCCACATTTAACAACAAGTCTTTTTCGTCGCATTGGGCCTATATTAAAGAGTTTTATTACGAGCTGAATAGTTATAAAAGCGTCAGAGAAGGTGTAGGCTCCTTTTAGTCACACATCTGGCCATAATATTATCATTTTCAATTATTTTTCATATTAACATTACCGAGATGCGTCTAATAAAACTTTTCTGAAGAATGCCACTTATTACGATAGACAAACACATAAAAACTCTACACGTTTATTGTAATTTCCTGTGATTCTGTCGAAGTGTGGATGACAGGTGGCCTTTTTGAGCCTCTTGATTTAAGTGTCCACGGTGGAGGACGTTTCAGAGGACGCGGTGTCAGAGTGGAAAAGGTTACGGCGCGTTTCAGTCTCTCGGATCTTTAATGAGCGTCTGCGCAGGTCCACACTTCTCCTGAGGGAAGGTGAAGTAAAACCCACTCCAAACCTCAGATAAAACAACAGGTAAAATAAAAATATACAAGATAAATATTAAGGCCGGGTTTCGTTAAGAAGCTGCCGATACGATACATGTCTTGATACTTGCGATTCAGTACCATATATTTCAAAGCGATTCGATACGGTTCAGTAAAAATAAAGGCTAAATCATGGCTGCGGTACTAAAAGTCTTTGTTAAAGGACTAAAACAGGACTAAAAAAGGACTAAAACAGGACTAAAAAAGGACTAAGCTAGGACCAAAACAGGACTCAAACAGGACTGAACAGGACTAAAACAAGATTGAACCAGGACTAAAACAGGACTACAACAGAACTGAACTAGGACTAAAACAGGACTCAAACAGGACTGAATAGGACTAAAACAGGACTGAAAAAAGGACTAAACGAGGACTAAAACAGGACTAAAACAGGACTCAAACAGGACTAAACTAGGACTGAATGAGGACCAAAACAGGACTCAAACAGGATTGAACCAGGACTAAAACAGGACTACAACAGAACTGAATCAGGACTAAAACAGGACTAAAAAAGGACTGAACTAGGACCTAAACAGGACTAAAACAGGACTGAACTAGGACTAAAACAGGACTAAAAAAGGACTAAAACATGACTAAAAAAGGACTAAACGAGGACTAAAACAGGACTCGAAACAGGACTAAAACAGGACTAAAGCAGGACTCAAACAGGACTAAACTAGGACTGAATGAGGACCAAAACAGGACTCAAACAGGATTGAACCAGGACTAAAACAGGACTACAACAGGACTGAATCAGGACTAAAACAGGACTAAACAGGACTAAACAGGACTGAACTAGGACTAAAACAGGACTAAAAGGACTGAGGACTAAACAGGACTAAAACAGGACTGAAAAAGGACTAAACGAGGACTAAAACAGGACTAAAAGGACTAAAACAGGACTAAAACAGGACTAAACTAGGACTGAATCAGGACCAAAACAGGACTCAAACAGGACTGAACTAGGACTAAAACAGGACTAAACAGGACTGAACAGGACTAAAAACAGGACTGAACAGGACTAAACAGGACTAAAGGAAACAGGACTAAACAGGACTAAAAGGACTAAAGGACTAAACAGACTGAATGAGGACAAACAGGACTGGAAAACAGGACTAAAAACAGGATTGAACCAGGACTAAAACAGGACTACAACAGGACTGAATCAGGACTAAAACAGGACTGAATGAGGACCAAAACAGGACTCAAACAGGATTGAACCAGGACTAAAACAGGACTACAACAGGACTGAATCAGGACTAAAACAGGACTACAACAGATCTGAACTAGGACTAAACAGGACTGAATCAGGACTAAAACAGGACTAAAACAAGATTGAACCAGGACCAAAACAGGACTAAAATGGGACTGAACCAAGACTAGTGCAAAGTGAATATGAAACACAAACATTTTAATTATCAAAACAGTGAAAATTGGGACAACTGGGAGATTCCTTGTATAAAACTGGGACAAATCACTGGTTTTGGATAAATCTTCTGGAACAGAGGACTCAAAACTGGGACTGTCCCGGGTAAAAAAAGGACGTCTGGTCACTCTAATCTCGTGAGAAAACGTACGTTAAATCTGTCCAGATATGATGAATTTATTTATTTCTGTTTATTTTTACAGCTTTTATCCATCTGTTCTTTTTAAATCCAGACACCGTGAACCACATGTGTCCAGTCGTGAAGTTCACATCTGCACATTTATAGAAAAACATACATTTCTAAGCCTATAATCAAACCTGTTTCCTTGCGCCTCAGAATCCGGCGCTCGCAGTCATGTGTGGGCTTAATGCGACCGCTCGTTCTAGAAAGCCCTCCACCCTGCACACGCACACTTAGCCTTAGCATTAGCATATGTGTATCTCTGCATCGTCTGGTCGCCCGGGGAAACCTTTGAGAGCAGGAAGCGGGAAATCGACCCGAAGCGCGCTCATATATGTGTGTTTTGCCGTGTGCCTCCGCCAGGGGAACCAGATCCTGAGCGGGCTCTCCCTGGACGAGTACAAGGCCACTCTGAAGATGATCGAGAGGGCTATTCTGGCCACGGACCTGGCGCTCTACATGAAGTGAGTACATGTCAGGGCCAGATGGAGCCGGGCGCCACAAGAGCACGTCATCTACTCACAGCACAGAGCAACGAGCGTGACTTTAATTCATTATGGCACTTTTATAAAACTAGGCACGAAGATGAGTGGTGTAACATTTAAATCGCACACGTGAAATTAGAAATATATTTTACAAAACTATGGAGTAAGAAAGCTTTCAGAAATATTTGTGTGCATGTTTGGCTGTAGTTGAGCGTAAAATAAATATTCGTAAACTCTCGAATGAATCCAGTCGTATATAAAATGTGTTGTGTGTATTTTATCCATCAGAATACGAGTTGAAAAGTTACGTCAAGAATTACAATCACAAAATGACTAGGACTAAACCAGGACTAAAACAGGTTTAAAACAGGTCTAAAACAGATCTAAAACAGGACTAAACCAGGACTAAAACATGACTAAAACAGGTTTGAACTAGGACTGAAACAGGATTAAACCAGGATTAAAACAGGATTAAACCAGGACTAAAAATGGGACTAAAACAGGACTGAACTAGAACTAAAACAGGTCTAAAACAGGACTGAACCAGGACTAAAACAGGATTGAACTAGGATTAAAACAGGACTAAAACAGGACTAAAGCAGGACTGAACCAGGACTGAAACAGGATTGAACTAGGATTAAAACAGGACTAAAACAGGACTAAAGCAGGACTGAATCAGGACTGAAACAGGACTAAAACAGGACTGAACTAGGATTAAAACAGGACTAAAACAGGACTAAAGCAGGACTGAATCAGGACTGAAACAGGACTAAAACAGGACTGAACTAGGATTAAAACAGGACGAAACCAGGACTGAACTAGGACTAAAACTGGATTAAAACAGGACTAAAACCGGTCTAAATCAGGACTGAACTAGGATTAAAGCAGGACTGAACAAGGACTAAAACAGGACTAAAACCGGTCTAAATCAGGACTGAACTAGGATTAAAGCAGGACTGAACAAGGACTAAAACAGGACTGAAACAGGACTAAAACAGGACTGAACTAGGACTAAAACAGGACTAAACCAGAACTGAACCAGGACTGAACTAGGACTAAAACAGGACTGAACTAGGATTAAAACAGGACTAAAACCGGTCTAAATCAGGACTGAACTAGGATTAAAGCAGGACTGAACAAGGACTAAAACAGGACTGAAACAGGACTAAAACAGGACTGAACTAGGACTAAAACAGGACTAAACCAGAACTGAACCAGGACTGAATCTCGGGACAGGCCCGGAGGTGCGCCCGTGTAGACCGTCGGGTGACCGCAGGTGAAAGGACAGATGCAAAATGCAAAATTCCGGCAACTCGCTCAATGTTTCTTCTGCTCCGTAAATAAAGCCTGTGAAGTGATGACGTATTTTTGACACTAAAGTCGCGTCTGTGAATTTGTACATCAATTCTTGATGTTTTAACTTTTCAATTAGAATATACTGTATCTCTCTAGGACTCATTTAATCATGGGTTACTAATTATTGCTCTAAAAGAACATATCATTTTATCATTCTAAATGAAAATTTAAAATTTACTGGTCACACAAAATACTTGGTGAAGAAGATTAAGATTAGTCTCAGTTGCTTTCGTTTCATACGTAAAGATCTATCGCTCCACACTTCTAAAATATTCATGAACGCAATGATCTTCTCTCATCTGTCTTATTGTATCACCTCATGGTCCCAGGCCTCCTCAACTACATTAAAACCGCTTTGTTCATTATACAAACTGACCCTTAAGATCTTTGACAAAAAGCCCAAAAACTGGCACCACCGTGAAATTACAAAGAAACATCAACTTTTTAACTTTGAAAATTTTATCAATTTTAACAATCTTAAATTATTTTTTAAGTGTCTTAACCGCAATACACCATTACACTCAGAATTTGCCAGGACCATAAAATGTTCACACAGAGCGAACACAAGAGGCGCTACTAGTGGTAATTGTGTTGTTCCTAGGTACAGGACGACTCTTGGTCAGTCCTCGTTCTCTTTTAAAGGGGCTAGTCTGTGGAACGGTTTAACAGCTCATTTAAAATTGGAAACCAACTACAACAAATTTAAAAGGAAATTAAAGTTATTGTATATTTCCAGTCAAAACTGCATCCACTAAAATCTACTCTATATATTTTATCTGTATGTAATTTATGTGTCTTGTACTTTCTGTTTTTATGCATGTAGTTTATATTTTTATATGGACAGGTGTTGAAAACTAGCGCTTGTGCTAAAACACTCAAAGCAATGCATCTGGCTTGTCTAATGCGATTGTGATGTCCTTAATAAACATAATAATATATTTTTACTGTAAGCTGTGTTGCTTCTCCATAGATTTGACCCGTAACTTGGCCTGGTGGCATGGGTGGTTTCTTTTTGTAGATCAATTTAATGTCATACTGTGGAACATTCTGGAAAAGCAATGGAGATAAGCAAGTTGTGCATCCTCACACGGTGCACCTTTAACTAAAGCACTTCCCAGACATTTAACACGTCTGATCTCTTCTTTGCAGGAGACGAGGGGAGTTTTTCGAGCTGACCAAGAACAGTCAGTTTGTGTGGGAGGACGAGCAGCACCGCGAGCTGCTCAGGTACGCCCCCTTCAGTCCGTCTCTGTCACAGCACAGAGCGCGGAGCAGAGGACATAACTGGAGTATTGAGTGTCGGCGGAGCTGTGGAGCCTTTTAAAGCCCGTGTTGTGTTGTGTCGTGTGTGTTTGCAGGTCGATGCTGATGACAGCGTGTGACATCTCAGCCATCACCAAACCCTGGCCTGTGCAGAAACGGGTAAACACCACGAGAGATTGGCTCTGTACTCAAATAACCTGTTAAAAGAACTGTATGTACGAGTTAGATTTTAAATTCCTGAAACATGAGCAATCTGTGAGGATAAAATCAAATATACAGTAAGTTTCACTGATGACAATTTTAATGCTCATTTATTCTTAGTAATGTTGTTTCTGTTGAAATTTGGCGTTTTGGTTTTCAAGGTGATTATACTAAAACTGCAAAATTTATTTATAACGCACTTTAAAAACAACACAGGCTGACCAGAACGTAATTAAATAAAAAACTATAAAAACAATAAAACAACATATGACAAAAAAAATAATCTAATGAAAAAACAAAATAATAAAACAACATATGACAAAAAAAAAATCTAATAAAAACAAAATAATAAAACAACATATGACAAAAAAAATCTAATGAAAAAACAAAATAATAAAACAACATATGACAAAAAAAAATCTAATGCAAAAACAAAATAATAAAACAACATATGACAAAAAATCTAATGAAAAAACAAAATAATAAAACAACATATGACAAAAAAAATCTAATGAAAAAACAAAATAATAAAACAACATATGACCAAAAAAAATCTAATAAAAACAAAATAATAAAACAATATATGACTAAAAAAATAATCTAACGCAAAAACAAAATGATAAAACAACATATGACTAAAAAAATCTAATGAAAAAACAAAATAATAAAACAACATATGACAAAAAAAAATTAATAAAAACAAAATAATAAAACAACATATGACTAAAAAATAATCTAATGCAAAAACAAAATAATAAAACAACATATGACAAAAAAAATCTAATGAAAAAACAAAATAATAAAACAACATATGACAAAAAAAATCTAATAAAAACAAAATAATAAAACATCATATGACTAAAAAAATAATCTAATGAAAAAACTAAATAATAAAACAACACATGACTAAAAACAGAATCTAATAAAAACAAAAAACGTAAAACAACATGTGAATAAAAAGAGAATCCAATATTTAAAAAAAAAACATATGACGAAAAACAGAATCTAATAAAAATAATCTAATAAAACGTCAACATCTCAAACTGTGTCAAAGGCCAAAGTGAACAAATGCGTTTTCAACATGCGCGTGTGATTATCCAATCAGAAATCAGAATGAGCCTCACTTGAGTTTCTCATTTAAACACAAATTTCCTCTCTTTGATCTGATTGGTCGGCAGCTAAACCCCAGCTCCTGCAGTCAAACATGGGTCAGTGCTAGTGCAGCCCCTGCAGCTCAGTGAGTGATTTCTGGAGGTTCTGAGCTTCACATGAGTCTGTCTTTATACTGAGAATGAGAAAAACTTGCACGCTTCCTCGATCTGCAGGCGAAGTCTCTGGCAACACAGGCTCATTTATAATTGTAGTAACTTTAAAAGCCTAAGAAAGCAGGCTACATACAGTTCTTTTAAAAGAAAAAAAAATGGGAGTTGTTTTAAGGACACGTACCACAAGAAATTTCAATTTTTGGTAACACTTTATAATAACTAGGTCTTCATGAGAAGAAAAAGGAAATCCTGGAAAATTCATGGAAATTATGTAAATTCAATGAAAGTTTTGGAAAGGCAGGGAATTTTAGTATCTCTTTCACACAATTACAGCATTCTGTTAAGTTCTCATTAGGCTATTATGATTATTTCCAAATGTCTGCACCTTTTTTTAAAGACATGACAATAAATGCACTGACAGTATTTTGAATGTTAAAAAACTATAATCCCAAACCATAAGGTGAGTGGAAAGAGTTAACATTTCATATTTAGCCCTAAAAGTCTGATCAATTCTACACATTTAGGGTGCCGTAAAATCATGGAAAATTCACTTTAGGTCATGAAAATGTCATGGAAAATTTTAGAAATTTTGTCAGTGAAAAAGAGTGGGAACCCTGAGAAAAAGAAGATTCAGGTCTAATAACTAATTCATAAATATTTTAATCTCCTAATGCTTAAAATGTAGTTATAATAAATGTTGAATTAGGAGCAGAATGTTAAGACAAAAATAAGGGACAAATCCATACAATTCGAATCAAATTAACTTACATGTTACATCCAAATTAGCAGCCAGTTAATAATATAATATTGACTGAATAGTTGTTGAGTTGTTTTCAGTGTTTTTTTTTGTAGCCCAAACTCAGTCTGCGTGTTTATATTTGCCCGTCCCTCGTGTGGTGGTGCCAGATTCTTCCTCCTTTACTCTTGACCGTCCCTTGTGATGTTCGTCAGCCTCATTAGTGATGCTGTTCTCGCTCATTACTGAAGCCAGCTGTGACCTTGTGCTCACATAAACAGTAAACAACTCTGCATTTTAGGTTAACAGTATTCCTGGTGGTACTGAACGCGCTCGTCTCCATGGAGATGTTATTGCTCTGCCCTAAAGGTTCCACTGAATAGCATTAAAAACATTTATTTCAAGTCATTTTATTGCTCAAAAATACCTTAAAAAACATACATTCGTACTCTGAGCGGGGTCGCCTCTGCAGAGATCTGACATGTAACTTGACCTAGTAGCGCCACCTGCTTGTCTCCATGTGTAAGTTTAATGCCATATTTTTTGCTGCCTTGCCTAGAATGCCAACTTCAACTCCATGGAAAAAAAACTTTAAATTTGAATACTTGTAATTATTATAAAAGTGTAAGTAAAAAGTATAATAGTATAAAGTATTTTTAAAAATTGTAAACTTATTCTGCCAGCTCAACAAATCTGTTTAAATCAATGTTTTATTTTTAATTAATTTTTAAAAATAATTAAATAAACTGTATGTAAGATTTAAAATTCCATAAACACAATCCATCTGTGTTTTTAAATATGAGGTAAACATGTTGAAATCAGATATAGCTTTTACTGATAACAATTTTAATCCTGATTTATTCTAGGTTTTAACAACTGGACATGTTGTTTATGTTATAATTTGTTGTTTTGGTTTTCAAGACGGTGATCCAATAAGAAAACAGAACAAACCTAACATCAGTCTCTCATTTGGGTTGCCAGTTTCAAAGCTAAAATCCAGCCTGTTTAAACCTTAAATGGCAGTCCAGGTTCAGTTGCGGTTTCAGTTTTTGAAAACAAGAGTGCAGGCTACATACAGTTCCTTTAAGGTCCCATATAATACACAAAACAGACTCTTGTAAGTTTTAAGCCGTGTTAGAATGTTGTTACCTCATCAAAAACAGACCTGGAGTTGTGTTTTGTTTCATTCACACATGTTTGAGTAACTTTATTATTAGTCTGTCTACATCTCCAAAGCTCAAATGTTCTGTTCCACCTTGTGATGTTAAAAAGCAGTATTTTTTTTTAAATATACAGTTACATTTATGTAGCCTGATTCATCAGCCGGTTTCACTTCGTGGAAACTGTCTGACCGCACAGCATTAGGATTCGTTCACTCGACGGTAGGTGGGTATTTTTTTAACCAGTCACTGCTATTTGGTCGTGACGTATGTAATGCACCAAATTCCGTAGGAAAAAGGACAATGACGTTTTTCCCCTTGATAAAATTCACCAAACATTCTCTTTGTTCCGACTTTAAATCCTCAATCTCGGGAATCGTTGCCAACACAGAATGTCTGTCTTTGTCTACATTCATCTCGACCGCTTTGTTTACTGTTGTGTTGTTCCACAAAAGGGACCCAGACAGGTGCTTGAGTTTGACATCATGGCTTCACAGCTCACAGCTGATGGGCGTTGCACGGGCCACAAAATCTGGGGTTCTTGCAAACCGTCTACTGTATTCCTATTTCTGATCTAGTTGCTGGAGAGAAATAAAATTGTGTGGAGGCACTAGGTGGCTCCAGTCTGGCTAAAATTAACTTTTAAGCTCAGTGAATACAGGCAATTCCAGGACCGAAATCATCCAAATGGTTCTAGTGAATGTGTATGGAGTTTCAAAACACTGCGCAGCCCTTCCTGTATTACCACATGACATCACAAGGTGGAACAGTGTGTTTGCTGTTTGAGATAAGAACTCTAAATATGCAGGGTTTGTGTATTTAATCTCCCACATGTGTGAATGAAACAAAACACCACTCAAGGTCTGTTTGTGATGAGGAAACAACATTATAGGTAAAAAAAAAGTGTAAAATGAGCCTGTGTAAATGTACACTGCTGGCCAAAAGTTTTAGAACACACTTTTTCCAGTTTTTGACTGAAAATTAATCAGTTTATCGTGTCATTGCACACTGACATGAAAGTGTAGAACAAATAAGCAATTTAAGTTGAAAAAGAAATCACTGAATCAATTTATAGACCAAAACGTATTCTAAACTTTTGATTCATGAAAGTGTCCAGACATAGCAGATATAACAGCTGAACACACTCGTGGCTCGTTCTTTTTACAATAGAAATCAAATATTCTTCAGAAAGTTCTTCCCAAGTTTGTTGCAGAAGTTCCCATAAATGTGTGGCACTTGTAGGTTTCTTGGTTTTCACTCTTCTGTCCAGTTCATCCCAAACCAGCTCGATGAGGTTTAAGTCTGGAGACTGTGCTGGACACTCCATGTTTTTTCAAGTTTACCATTTTGTTATTTTTTCCTGAGGTAAATTTGGCAGAGCTTGGACTTGTGTTTTGTATCTTTTATATTTTTTTTAAACCTCTGGCTATTCAGCCTTTGTACCATTTCAAGCTCTTCACTGAACTTGAACACGACTGTAATTGCAATAAATAACTGGAAAAATTAGGATGTTCTAAAACTTTCGACCGGTAGTGTACATTACATCGAAGAGGCTTGGCTTAGCTGATTCAAATGAACATGGAACATTCTCATATGCGGATAAAAGTACCTTACTCCATCAGATTTAGTGTAACTGCTACATGTCGTGCCTGAGTCGTGTGTGTGATCTTGTTGCAGATCGCAGAGCTCGTGGCCACAGAGTTCTTTGAGCAGGGAGATAAGGAGCGAGAGGAACTGAAGATCGAGCCCAGCGTAAGTGCCTCCTCCTCTCTCTGATCGAGTAACACACTGTGAACCACACGGATTTGAGGCCTTATAAAATGTTATGTTAACTTGAAATGACTTTGCTCTGTATTTCAGGACCTTATGAATCGTGAGAAGAGAGACAAAATTCCCAGCATGCAGGTGTCTTTTATTGACGCCATCTGCACTCAGTTATATGAGGTAATTCTATAACCGCATTAGCTTCACTTTTAGAGCTCAAGTGTTTAAATCTAAAATACTGGATTTGTCAAATATTGGAAGAGAGTTTCGTGTTTTTTCAGAAGATTAACTTGCCCAAAATGACTGAAATTACTTATAACATGGCTGCTAATGTGACTTGACTTAAGGCCGACACACACTACAGGAGAATTTGCCTGATTTTGGCAGCGATTTCTTCTCCCTGGGTTCGAGGAGATTTTGTGTTTTGATTTTGAAGCCGCAGAGTTCCTCATGCGTGTGGCGTCAGTGTCAGATCATAAGCACCAAACATCAGCAACACTACGGAAACAGCTGATAAAACAGAGCACCAAGAGCAGACGGAGTGACGGACACAGAGATGCAAGATACAAACTCGGGATATACCGAAAATAATGAGAAGACTTTATTACTCACGTCTCGTAAAGCTCTAAATTTCAAGTGCAGCATCTCATCCACATTATCCATAGAAATTATCCTTCGCAAATAATGACTCCAGTCCACAAAACTATGCTATTAATCCAATTTGTGTCTTCTTTAAAAGTAAAAAGGCCGGAGTAGTTCCTCATGTGTGTCTGTTTACATCCACATGGCGCACGGATCGAGATGAAGCTGCAGATTAACGATAGTGACTCTACTTCCTGTGGACTTTATTGCCAAACTTTTATGCTTTAAAAATCATGTATCTGAAGAATTGCACCACTTTGACTTGTCTTGTGTCTAAACTAGAAGTGCAGAGCTCTGATCTTTTGAACACTTAAGAGTCTGAGAGCGAGTGGTTTTACTGTCGACAGGAAACAGCTGACACGATCGCACTCACAACTTTATATCCTGTGGTCCGCAGACATGTCCCGCTGCAGTCTTTGCGATCGGAGATTTTAAGTCTCGTAAGATTCTCCTCGTGTCTGTGATGTGCGCTTTTGGTCGCATGTTTAAAAATTGTTTAAGACCGAAAAATCCTGTAGTGTGTGGCGACTTTAAGCATGGTCCACTGAAGCCGATCATAACTCTAAAGTCTTATATCACAAAATACACACAAATGTAACACACACAAACATAACACACACAAATTAAATGCACACAAACATAGACTTAACAGAGGAATTTGAAAATCCAAGGTTAATCTTCTTAAGGGTGCACGGGGTCCATTTGTGGTGAAGGGCCCACTACATGCTTGTCTTCATGGTTACGTTAATGCTTTGCCTTGAATGTTCCACAGTATGGCTTTAAATGTATCTATAAGTGACACCACCCACCGGGCCAGGTTACAGGTCAGATCTGAGGTGAATGCATGCTTTCAGTGGATATTAAAAGCATATATGTTATAAAGGCTAGATCATATATTTAATGCCATACTGTGGAACATCCCAGTGAAAACATCTCCATGGAAACAAGGAGGTAGCAAACCGTCCACCACAAAGTTACCTAATGCACCTTTAAACCACAAAACTCTTTCTTAAAACTCATCCCAAAACCTAATTTGTTGCAAGTTTGAATGAAAAAAATGTGAAAGAATATATAGAGAATCAACAATTAATTATACATGTACAGTAATAAAACAAGTGTAGGGTGACCAGACGTTCCTCTATTTACCCGGGACAGTCCTAGTTTTGAGCCTTGTGTCTCCTGTCCCACCAAATTTATCCAAAACTCTTGATTAGTCCCAGTTTTATGCAAGAAATGTCCCTATTTTTGACCAATCTGATCCCTGCCAACAGTAAAAAGAGGCATAAACTGTCATTTGTTTCAGTAAAATATAGAAAAGCTGCTTAAAAATTACCAAAACACAAAGAAAATGTGACTATATTGACTCACATTTTAGTCGTGAATGGCCTCTGCAGAACAATTTTTCTTCATGACGCACTCATTTCACAATTTTATTATTACCAATCACCACAAACCAGGGATGTCAAACTTTTTTATTTAGATTTTTATTTTCTGGTCACCCTGCACCAGTGGAATATTGTTGTGGATCTAACTGTAGCGCTTGTGTCTCTGTCCCAGACGTTGGTTGGCATGTCGGAGCACTGCAGCCCCCTGCTGGAGGGCTGCCAGAGGAACAGGCAGCACTGGAAGCATTTAGCCGAGGAGTGCGAGAAGGGCCTGGTGAACGGGCTGGTGTGAGCCGCGGACGCACCCACCAGTCCACTGTTTAATCTGAATGAATGTCAGGAGGGAGGCATGGTGTGTGGAACAGCCGGGCTCCAGTGTCACAAGCACCACTGTCAGTCTGGAGGTTTTTACTGTGCTCAGTCTGGCAAATGGTTAGCAGTAGGACATTTTTCTACAACTCTTTACGGTGTTTCAATTTCATTTTCACTTAGTCTTTTCGTCTGTGCCAGTGTCAGAGGTTTGTAGTCCTCAGTTACTCAGCAAGACTTCAAAGAGTAACATTACTTCAAAATCATTTTAGTAGAAGTAGAAGTACAAAGTAGTGGTTCAACAAATTATTAATGAAGTAAAGTAAGAGTAAAAAAGTGTTTTTGAAACCTGATACTCAGATCGGAGTAACTAAAGTCATTTGATGGACAAGATATTTTCCGGACTATAAGTCGCACCAGCCAAAAAGTGTGTAATGAAGAAAAGTCACACTGGACTATAAGTCGCACTTTTTGGGGGCAAGTTATAGTAATAACAATATAACAGAGAACAACAGACTGTTAATGTCACATATGAACAGTTCTTCAGATAAATATAACATAAACAACAGAACAGAACAAGTTTATCAAACTCTTCGTCTCACTCCAAATCACTAAATCCATTGAATTCTTCATCCTCGGTGTCACAACTCTGTGAAATCTGGAGGTAAACAGGGCGTCACTTCCTCTTCTGTGTAGCTGTCGTCAGACTCAGCATCAGTTCCAGTTAGAATTATTCCGGCCTTTCTGAATCCCCACAAGATGGTTTTGGTTGTCACTGAAGTCCAGGCTTTGTCCATCCATCCAGTGACTTCCAGGAAAGTTGCACAGTGCACCCTCCTGGTGTCACAAGTTTCTCGCTCACTCCAAACTTTGTTTCTGCTGCTCGATTATCTCTGTCAGCTGCAGATTTCACTACTTGCAGCTTGTAATCTGCAAAATATGATTTTCTTTTTGTGGGCATTTCTGTTCAGTCTTCTCAGACGTCTTTATAAGTTTGTTTCAATTTTCAATTTTCGGTGGTGCAGAAGTAATGATGCGATTGACTGACATGATACAGACAGAAGAGAGGCTCTTTCTGCAGGAGACATGTGCAGTAGAGCCAAGTGACAGTGGTACAGGAGTAACAGGAGCAGCAGATACTGACACACAAGACTAGAGCCTCTCACGGCTTCAGTGTGAACATATTAATATATAAATCACAGGAGCACAAAACCATGAAAAAGTGTGACTTATAGTCTGAAAAATAAGATAATGAACAAAATCTGGTGTTTTCAAACAATAGCTTACTTGAGTCTTGAAACGTTTTAAAGAAATTGTACTTTTCTATCATCGTATTTTTACTCCTGTTTGAGAAATATTTTATTGAAGTAACAGTACTCTCACAGCTAGAGTGACTGAGTGGCAAATAATAATGTTTAAATTTGATTCATTTTTATATTTGTATTGAAACTGTCGCTCCCGGCGCTCGTCCCTCACACCATGCTCCCGTCTCCAGCCCCGCCCATGGTCACCGTTGTTTGTATAATTGTCACTTTTTCAGAGACAATAACCAAGTCAGCACTAAGCTATATTTATTATCAGAGCGATGTTTTATTTTTGCACCGAGTGGCTTTATCGTAAGCTTTCTCACACAGGAAGTGATGTCAGCAGCGCCCTATTTACTCTACGTTTCACACTAACAGCTTCATGTCACAGCGCACACTACTGGGGTGGAGTCTTTTGTATGTTCACTCATTGTCTTAACTATTGCATATTTATTTGGTTTGATCTATTTATTATTAGTTTGTATCTTCTCTTGTGGAGAGCACACAGTTCTTAGGACAAGCTGGTTCCCTCTGTATTTAAAGGTGAAGAAACGTTGAACAACTCTTGAAATGTACTGTACGTTTTTGTCTTGTAAAAGAGCCAAAGACTAGGCCTGTGCTTTCACTAATGGGTCTAGCTTTTTCCACTGCCTTGTTGTGATAAAAAGGACCAATATATTCAATTAAAGAAGGAATTTGAACTTTTGTCCCTGATAGTTTTTAATCTATATATTTAATCTATATCCGTTTGCTTACGAGAGAAAAAAAACTTATATGAAAATACTCAAATAGAATCCATGTATCATCATTTGTTCATTTGTTTTTCAATATAAAACCAAAAATAAGAAAATGAAAAAACAACTATTTTCTTCATTATTTGTCTCCAAAACCAAAAGGAAAAAATTTGACAATGATTCGCTTTTTCACTTTTCGGACTAAACCCGGACTAAACCAGGACTAAAACAAGACTAAAACAGGATTAAAACGGGACTAAACCATTTTTAGTCCTGGTCTGGTCCCAGTTTGAGTCCTGGTCTGAATCCTGGCCTGGTCCCGATCTCAGTCCCGGTCTCAGTCCTGGTCCTGGTCCGGTCTCAGTCTCAGTCCTGGTCTCAGTTCTGGTCTGGTCCCGGTCTGGTCCCAGTCTTAGTCCTGGTCCCGTTCCCTGTCTGGTCCCGCCTCAATCCTGGTCTCGTGTCAGTCTCAATCCTGGTCTCACGGTTTTGTCCCGGTCTCAGTCCCAATTTCAGTCCTGGTCCTGTTCCTGGTCTCAATCCTGGTCTCAGTTCTGGTCTGGTCCCGGTCTGGTCCCGGACCTGGTGTAGTCCTGGTTTAGTCCTGGTTCAGTCCGTTTACAGTTTGTCACAAAAACAGGAAATGTACGTTATCCGTTTTTTCCATTATTCATCTAAACACAAAATCGAAAACTGAAAAAACAAAACTTTATCTGTTTTTTCATTTTGGTTTTGGAGACAAATACTGAAGAAAATAGTTTTGTTTTTTTTCATTTTCTTATTTTTGGTTTTATTTTGAAAAACGAATGAACAAATGACACACAGATTGACTCGAGTTTTTGTATTGGCCCTGTTTACTTTTCAGGACTCTCGCCTCTTTACACCTCCAGACTTCAGCTCACACACGACACAGTTTACACAATAGTCCGAAGTATCCAGTAGTTTATAAAATAAGTGCAATTTGACCTGATCTTACCAGCTGTACTTTTATGAAGAACTCGGTGAACTAAGAGTATTGTAAAGTAACGTGTGTTTGTAGGACAGACACGACTGCGGTGGCCAAGAATGTTTGAATAGATGCATCACGAATCTCGGACTTCTGGTCATTGCTCAATCCACACTGGGAAGGATTTTCTGAAAAAGTGAGCATCAAATCGCCATGTTTGATTTCCCAGTGGGATGCGTCTATTGACAAAGCCGATCTTTTCAAGTCTGTGGAACCATAATGGTTTTGTTTCTGGTTCTGATATTGTCATATTTTGGTTTTGGGATTCAGACATTGTAATTGTGTGGTTGTTGGATGTTCTAACAGCGGAAAACGGCTCGAGAAATGAGCTTCGGAAGTTTGCGAACTCCATAAATGCAAAAGAGAATCAGATCTTTGTGACTGCAAACCTCCGTTCAACTGTTTCCGGAATTGAAGAATAGTGAAAAGTGAAGGCGATGGGCAGGATTGATCCACAGGAAAGATGAAAAAGGAAACCTTTGTCTGCCTAAGAAATCATCCTGAGTTTACAGCGAACATTTTTAGATTTAGATTTATTTATTGTCATTGTATGAAATACAACGAAACTTCAACAGAGCAGATCTGTAGCAGTAAAAATTAACAAATATAAACACATCCTCACATCCATACCAATAAAAAACATTTAATAAATAAAATAAATAGATTATTGCACTGAGTCCCTTCAGGCCTTTTATCTGTGCCCATGCCCCTGGAGCACGTCCACTGCTCGTGGATAGAAGCTGTTGCGCTGCCTGTTTGTGCGTGTGAGGGGAGTTTGGAGTCTTCCTGAGGGGAGAGTGTGGAAGAGGCAGTTCCCGGGGTGTGTGGGGTCCAGCAAAATATTGGAGGCCCGTGTGTGGAGACGTGAAGAGTAGATGGTGTCCAGGTTCGGGAGTGAGGAGCCCACCACCTTTTCAGCTGTTCTCACCACTCGCGGCAGGTCCTTCTTTTCAGCAGCTGTGCAGGCTCCAACCATGATGTACCGCAGTACGTCAGAACGCTTTCGATGGTGCACCGGTAAAGGTTGGTTAGGAGCTTCTGGGAGAGCCCGTTCTGGTGGAGTGTTTGTAGAAAAAAACGTCTCCGCTGGGCACGCTTTATAATGCTGATAGTGTTTAGGCTCCAGGTCAGATCCTCACTGATCTCCACACCCAGGAACTTAAAGTTGGAGACCCTCTCTACCTCTTCTCTGTTGATGCAGAGGCCAATGTGATCAACGGAGAAGAGGTTTTGTATGTGGAGAGCCATCAAAACAAAATCCAGTTTGTTAAGTGAGAAGTACAGACGACAAACAGACTGAGCTCGCGCTTTCTTGTTCTTGTGGTTTTACAGCAACATCACGTCTTGGTCTCTTTGCAGTGGAAGATGTTTCTTGGTGAACAGTTGGTGCCTTTCGCTTTGGCGTTGACTTTTTAAATTCGTAACCAAGGCTGAGCGAGGGATTGGGATTTTGCTTTGATGGCGCTTCACATACAAAATGTTCACTGATTTCTTATTGGTCCTTCATGTGCATCAGTAGTGCCCATCGCCTGTGCTTTTCACTATTTTTCAATCCTGTTGGGAAGGGTCACACACATCTGATTCCCTTTTGCATTTATGGAGTTCACAAACCAATTTCTCAAGCCGTTTTCCACTGTTAGGATCCAACAACCACACAATTACAATGTCCAAATCCCAAAACAAAAATATGACAATATCAGAACAAGAAACAAAAGTGATATGGTTCAAAAGACTTGAAAAGATCAACTCTGTCAATAGACACATCCCACTGGGAAAATAAAACAACGACAAAATGATGGCAATTTGATGCTCTTTTTTTCAGAAAACCCTTCCCAGTATGCAATGCGCAATGACCGGGAAGTCCGAAATTCCTGATGCATGAATTTACCAAGGATTTGTCAAAAACGCTAGATTTACACAAACAGCTGATAGTGTGGTTAGACTACTGCAGTACTTCATAGTTATAGTTTTTATCTTGGACTTTTTGTACTTCTATAATGACTATAATCCCGCGTTTTTACCTGAACCATTCGATGACGACGATGTATTTTGAATGTCATTAATGCTTTTGATGTGTGTGCTTTCATTTTGTACGACATAAACCGGAGGGCATTACGAGGAGCGTGACTTTAAGCACATTCGATACTTAACGTAGATACAGTTACATGTTTATGGTTAGTGACATAAAGGGTCCTGTCGGGTCATGTGACCGCTGTGTCTGTGGGGGATCCGCTGTAGAACACTGTGAGCTCATTAAAGATGGACTTATTTTACTGCTGTCAAGTGTCTTTCTCTTGGCTCATTAGTGGCTTTGCTCCTGTGCACATTGAAATCTGATTATGATCTGATCTCTAGACGATTTTAATGACACGTAAACCATAATCTGTAATTATAAAGACCATGATCAGGAAGAAATTTGATTATTAAAAGCAAAATCATCTTATAACTCAAGAAATCTGATAATAATCTGATTACAGGATTCCCACGCTTTTTCACTGACAAAATTTCTAAACTTTTCCATGACCTAAAGTGAATTTTCCATAACTTTACCGCACCTACATGTGTAAAATTTATCAGACTTTGAGGGCTAAATATGAAATGTTAACCCTTTCCACTCACCTTATGGTCTGGTATTATAGTTTTTTAACATTCAAAATACTGTCAGTGCATCTGTTTTAAACAAAATGCGCAAACGTTCAAAAATAACCATAATAGCCTCATGATAACTTAACAGAACGCTCTAGTTGCGTGAAAGAGATATTACAATTCCATGACTTTTCCAGGCCAGGAAAATGACTTTTTCAATTTCCATGACTGTGGGAACCCTGTGATTATGAGTGCACATGTATCAACTAAGGCTGGGCATCAGAGGTGGGGACTTGCAGGTCATGACTTGGACTTGAGTCAGACTTAAGTTACTATTTTTAGGACTTGACTTGATAAAATGGATTAAGACTTGGGACTCGACTTGAGACTTGACTCGGACTTGAGGCCTGTGACTTGTGAAGACTTGAAAAGCACTTTTAAATCTGAATTCTTTCTATTCTGACCGTAATGATTCACTCTAAGATCTTGTCATTTCTACAACTCTAATATACTCTATAAATACTCATATATAAATATACTATGACTTTATAAATACAATTTATTTAAAAATTCATATAAATTGCAAAAAGCTACTAAAGACTTGAAATGACTTGAAGCTCAAAGCAGACGACTTGAACTTGACTTGGACTTATGGGCAGTGACTCGAGACTCGACTTGGACTTGCCTGTATTTGACTTGGGACTTGACTCGGACTTGAGGTCAAAGACTTGAGACTTACTTGAGACTCGCAGAAAATCGACTTGGTCTCACCTCTGCTGAGTATCATTAAGAAGTTGCCGATACGATACATACCTCGATGCATGGGCCACGATACAGTGAGCTTTCCATTCGATATGATATATTTCAAATCGATTCGATACTGTTCAATAAAAAATAAAGGCTAAATCATGACTGTGATACTAAAGTCTTTGTTAAACCAATTCTTGTGCAAAGTTAATATGAAAAACAAACATTTTAATCAGAAAAACTATGAAAATATATATTTATATATTTTCTTTCCACTAAACAAGCAACAAAACTGTAGCGCTGTAACCAAATAATTTAGTAAAATATATCAAAAAATACTCGATACAGCAGCCCATGATATCAATACTGTAGCAGCACATTAAACAATACGATATATTGATATTTCAATATTTTTTCACACCCCTAGTAACCACAGCCATTGTCTATGTGCACAACAAAAATCTGCTCATGGGTTCATGATTTCTGAAGTTATCAAAATTTACATATGATGAGTTTTCAAATTTCTTCATGTTTTGACAAGTAAAAATATATCAAAATATTTTAAAAAGTTATTAAACTAATTAGACAAAAATTTGAAAACGTGAAAGAATTAT